TCCCGCTGGTCTGTTCGGAATTAGATCTAATTCGTTCGTAGTTCATTCGGTGTTCGTTCGGAATTAGATCAGCTAAATTCTGTATTAGATCATGCCACTTCTATTTACGAACGAACCCAGATCTAATTCCGAATGAAGTCAGATCTAATTCAGAATCGTTTACCTGAGTTGGCATGGGTTTTAAAGATTTGAAAGGAAGTTTCTAAAAATTCTGAAACAGGGGAAAATAAAGAGAATAAAAGGAAAAAAGGAAAGAAACAGAATGGGAGGAAAAATAACAGCGCCCTTTCTTTCAAATTTCGGAATATATAAATTTCTGAGATTTTATTCACCGAATATGCCAAAAAATTTCAAATTTTCAGATTTTCCAACATTTCAGGTTTTCAATTTTCGGAATGTCTAAATTTTTGACATTTAGAGTTTTCGAATTCTGAAATCTACATTTTCGATTTTTCAAAGTTCCAAAACTTTTCGACTAGAATGTTTTTCGAAAAGTTGAATTTCTGAATTTCCAATTTTTCAGGTTCTCGAATTCTAGATTTTCTAAACTTTTTCGAAATTCTATACATTTTGCGGACAGGGCCGTCTCAGGCCATCCCGGCATTTAGTAAGTATGCGAATCTCGAAATTTTCCAATTCTTTAAAATCTGATATACCAAATTTCGATATTTGAGACAAACAGATTCAAACAATTTTCTAGATTTCAAAATTAATGTTTTCCTATATCTGGTTTTTAAAAATTTACTAATCTCTGAACTTCCAAGTGTCTTACTTTTCCAATTTCCGGATATCCTTACTTCTGACTTTCCGAATTCTGGAAATTCTGAATAACCGAAATATCGAAATTCGAAATTTCCTAATAGACCATGAAAAAATAGTCCCTGTAAAAAAGACAAAGCCTGTCTATAATATGTGTCGTGGAATATCACATATTCCACGAGTCTTTAATCTCAAATGAGGAAAATCCTCTCTAATGTTCTTTCAGGTTTCTTCAGATCTCTTACACCGCAACGGCCTGCATTCAAATTCTCGCCAACGTCACCAGTTTGAAGCGTCTCGTGCGTAAACTCTACCAACAACACGCTTCTCCAGCGCCAAGTTCAAGTCACCTGCACAAACATGTCACATTAATTCTCTCTTGCCTTTGAGATGACCTTAAGTCATCTTTCGCTAACATTTTCTCTATAATTTATATTCAATAAAGACTTAGTAATAAGTCAATGTTCTTTCTATTAACATTCAGGTTCACAGTTTCTAATTCCTCACTTTCGTTGAACTCTTCATCGTTTTCTCTCTTGTCTTCGACGCCGAACCAATTGTGTCACTGTCTCTGGCAGTGGACCACAAAATCCTGTAAGCGGGAGCCAGGAGGCTCAGCCCGGATGGGCGCAAGCCGACTGTTTCTCAAAATTCGAAAATTTCGAATTTCAGCATCTTCGGAGACCAGAAATTTCAGTAAACCAGGACATTTAGTTATCCAAAATGTGAAGCTTCAGAAAACCGGGAATTCACATACTCCGGATTTCAGAACATAAAAATATTTTTTCAGTATTGGAAATTTTAAAAAATTTGGGAAATCAAATATTCCTCGAAGAAAATTGATAGTATGCAAAACTTTCACAAATTTTGGCGAATTCGGAAACTCAAAATTTTTGAAATTAGAAATTAAAAGATACAGAAAGCGGAAGCCAGGAGGTTGAGCCCCCGACAGGGGGCGTAAACCGACTGGTAACTTTAATATTTTAAAAATAATTTTGAAAACTAAATGATTTAAAAAATAGAAATGCTTCTACTTTGGAATAAAAAATCCGAAATCCTTAAGGCATTTTTCAGAAATTCCAGATTTGAAAGATTCCCAGAAATTAAATTTTTAGAAATTTAATATTTATAGATTGATCTTTTTTTCAAAAACTTTATTTGAAAAAAGTTCAATAATAAAAATCCGCAGCACTAGTTGGAAGCTTCGGGAAGTTTCAATGAGGCGTTACATTCCATCTGAAAATATAAAAGTTCCGATTATTGGTTTTCTCGAATTTCCATTTTACCTCAAAACAATCAACCATCGTCTTCACTGGATTCATTTTTTCATCCTCCCATCTTTTCATTTTTTCCATTGCCTCATTCATCTTCTCCAATTTATTTGGGTATTCATGAAAATCAGTCTTCAATATTTGAATTTCTTTTAGAAAATTCAAAATATCATTTCTCTGATTCTCCTGATACTCGTCTTCGATGAATGTTTTGATTGTGTCTATTGGAAGATTGGTTGGAAATGAAACATTGGATGAATTCCAAATCTTTTGGCTTGACAGAATCTCAAAAAACTGTGACAATGAAGAATCCAAAAGGTCCCAGGAGTCTTTGATTCCTAAATTCTCAACATCCAACGTCTTCATCATTTCCAATCCATTTTGTACATTTCGAATCGTTTCCAACACATTGGTCCCATCAGAAACAGCCTTCACATCCTCTCCATCCAGTGGAAAGTTCTCAATTTCTGGATTTGTTGCCACCTTCTATTCCTTGATCTCCTCAATCATCTTGTAGGCTTCTTTAAACACTCCCACCACTTCTACCGTACTCTCCAACACCTTCGGATCAAAGTTCCAAACTTTTCCAGGTAACACCAACAACTCCTTCATATCGGAAGCCGTCGTTTCGAGATTTGAATAGCATTTCAAAAACTGTTTGGGTTCATCCAATTTCTCAAAAATTCCCTCAAATACTTCCCGAGCATTATCCACGTTCAATTCTTTGAGCCTGATACTTGCTTCAATAATCCTGAAAAAAGTTCTTGCAATATAAAAGAGATGGAATTATAAAAATATTCTAAGATAGCGCTTAGACGCTCATTTATTGAATACGCGAACTCAATCAATATTTTTTAAAGTCTACCAGCCTGTTTGACGCGCCTCCTGCGCTTCAAACAGCTGGAATTAACCTTTTTTTACTATTCGTCGCTTCGCGACCTTCCTGAAGTTTCAAATTTTTGATAACTAAAAGTCAGGTTTACTAAACTTTCTGTTCTCCGCAAATTCTGAATTTCGAAATTTTCGAATTTTGAGAAACAGTCGGTTTGCGCCCCTCCGGGCTGAGCCTCCTAGCTCCCGCTTACAGTACCCGTTGTCTTATAGACAGGTTTTGTCATTTTTCCAGGGACTATTTTTTCATGGTCTGTTAGGAAATTTCGAAATTCGATATTTTGGTTATTTAGAATTCCTAGAATTCGGAAAGTCGGATTTTTAATTTTTTTTTTGATTTTTTTAAATTTTTCCTCGCATTCTCTTTCTTTTCTTTTTTTCCTTTTATTTTCTTTCCTTTCCACTGTTTCAGAATTTTTTCTTCCTTTCAAATCTTTAAAATCCATACTAAAAGAATATTTCCAGAAAATCACCTTTCTCTCAGAAATAGCGTGGATAAGAAAAAAATTTGGGCGGTTAGACGGAAATGACGTGAATATTTCTTCAATATTTTTCTAAAAATTTGCACTGTAGAAATAGAAGAACGTCTCTAGAAGACGTCAGACACAAAATTTCGAAAGATTTAATACTCGGGCATCATCTCGCGGCTATTTCGGGTAATCTGTGAAATTTTGGGAAAATTTGGTTCATTCTGGACTTCGTTAGGGAAGGTGATACGGGAACAAACGGACACACTCACACACAGAATTTGGTGATTGTTAAAGGGGGACTCCGACCAAAAATTTTTATTGCATTAAAATGTGTTAAAAGTTATCTATTTCCCGAATATTATTGCGAAAAAATTCAAAAAAATCCGAAATTCCCAAAAAACGGCGTTGAAAAGAAAGAAAATTCAAAAAAAGGTGCCGCCGGGGGACGAGGATTTTCAGTGAGAAACCTAGGCCACGGCAGCGGGCGCCTTTCCTACGAGGCAAATTTTCCGGATTTTTTTCAATTTCATGTCCGGCAGGTAAAAAACGTAAAAAACCACTGTCGGCGACTTGAAGAAAAGGCTGTCAGGTGCCGTGGCCTAGGTTTCTCACTGAAAATCCTCGTCCCCCGGCGGCACCTTTTTTTTGAATTTTCTTCCTTTTCAACGCCGTTTTTCGGGGATTTCGGATTTTCTTTGAATTTTTTCGCAATAATATTTGAAAAATAGATAAATTTTAACACATTTTAATGCAATAAAAATTTCTGGTCGGAGTCCCCCTTTAATAGTAAAGATGAGCATGATAAGAATGTTTTTTTAAATCTATCTTTTTAAAAACCCAAGACTTACCAACCGTAAAAAGTGTAGTCATCTTGAAAATTCTGACACCATGCATGTTCATCAAGAAACTCTCGAAATAGAGATAGTAAATCTCTATCGACTTGTGCTGGATTTGGATACCTTCGTTCGATAAGCGTGAGAAGGTTATCTGTTGTTTCTGCAAGTTTCTCTAAACGTTTCGTAGTGTTCTGAATATCCAAATCCATTGAACGAACTGCAGTCAATTTTTCATCAAAATCAGCTAAGAAATCTATCGGGAAACTCATTTGAAAATCAAAGTTTTGAACACAATCTCGGAAATTTGAGAACTTCTTCGTCAGGCTGCCAGATTGAATTTTCGTATGTTGGAAATGATTTTCAAATGTAGACCATTTTTTGGAACTTGTGGATGTTCGAAATTCAAATGATCTCATTTTGGATGAGAAGGATTTGATTTTTTGAAGAAGGGGAGATAGGGATTGAATTCCTCCATATTCTCCATGAAAAACAGTAGTAAAGTTTGTTAGAAAATCCGAAGATTTAGTCAGATTTTGAAAACGGTTTTTAATTTCATTGACCACGTTTCCTTCTCTCAATGCTTCCAACGTTTCCATCTCCTTCTCAACTTTTAATAGTTTCGAATCGATTCCCTTCTTGAAGTTCTTGACTTCATCCATCATTGCATTCAGTTTTTCAGTGACATCTCGCGTACGTTCAACAGAGGCAAAACCTTGCAAATCGTTGTTGAAACCATGCTGCTCCAATCCATCTTGTAGTTCATGTGATGTGATGTTTATTCTTTGAAGCAATTCAATATTCTTCCACACGATTCTCTTATCAGCGTCAGATAACGTATCATCTTGAAATGACGAAACAGATTCAAGAATTTTACTGTAAGTGTGATAAATACGTGTAAAAAGCTCAGACTGATATTCAGAAGCATAAAAATTGTGATTAAATCTTTTCTTTAGTCTCCTGAAATAATCGTAAACACCATATATATTGAGCTCAGAAATCTTCTTTTCCAAATCACTAAATCCATCCATCATATTGAATCCATTCTCCACGTCATCTTTCAATTGTTCACTAGTTTCCGACTCCTTTGCTTTTTCAAATAATTCCAACATCTCATTCTGTTCCTTCAATCCTCCACTTATCTTCATCTCCAAATACTCTTCCAGAAGACTCGCATCAATTTTCTTATTCAAAATTCTTTCAGACACATCCAAAGCACCGATTTTTCCAGTTGCCAACTCATTTTCCAAATGGATTTTGTTGGCTTTTTTATAGATTTCAGACGCTTCTTGATAGTATTCATCTAAAGCGAATCGACTATCTGGGATCGAGATTCTCGTTATTTGGAAAATAAATTTCAAATTCACCTTTTGTAGATTTTATCCCGTCAATCAAGAGGATGAAGAGGGGAGCTTTTAGTACCCACATCTCAATTTTGAATTGATATCTCGTTGACTGATGTTGTGGCATTAGAGGATAACGCTTTTTTTCTGCTGCCCCGGTTTTTAAAAGGTTTTTAGAAATATATATTTTACATTATTTTTGAGATTTGTAAAAATAAAAATACCAAACATGTCCAAAAAAAAGAGGTTGTTTTTATCACACAGATAATTTCAGAAAACTAGGTGGATTTCAAAAAAGAAGAAGAAAATCAATAAATAAAAAATATCATAATTGTCAAGCCGTCTCCATTTGACCTTCTCCATCGTCCTCTGCTCTCTCGTCTCTCGTTTTTTCCTTATTCAGCCGCCAAATTTGAACGTACGACTCGGCGAGCACAATCATCTGGGGAAGCATGTCTTTGACGTGAAGGTCTTCCAGCTCGAACCATTTTCCGGAACCCTGGAAATGAGCAATGGAATCTCGGAACTCAAGAATTGAAAAAATTTAAAGGCCTAACTTTTGCAAGTTGAATTTATTAGACCATTAACTGTTATGACCTAATAATGCCCTTATATTTATCTGATGTGATTACAGAGCATTTTAACATTGTGATCCAACTTTTGCAAATGGAGTTTTCTGGACCATCATGGGAAACGGTCTAGAAATGCTCTAGAATTAACTTGATGTGTTTTCTAGATCATTTACCATGGTGGCCTAGAAAACTCAATTTGCAAGAGTTAGGCCACTGTGCCAATATTGCTTGGAAAACATATGAGGTGGATTAATTTCTATGTAATTTCAACATGGTGGCCTAACTTTCGCAAGTCGAGTTTCCTAGGCCACCATGGTAATTGATCTAGAAATGGCTTGGAATTGATCTTATATGTGTTCTGGGCTATTTTAACATGATGACCTAACTTTTGCAAGTTGAGTGTTCTAGGCCACCACCTTTTATGACCTAGACATGGCCTGGTATCCACTAACACAATGGCCTAAAATGAATTTTCTAGGCCACCACTAGAAAATCCATTCACCTGATGCACAATCTGAATCCGATAGTTTCCCGTCTCGAACGTTCCCTCATGAACCACATTCGCCACCAAATCATACGTCGTATACTTGTGCTCCGCTCTCACATCCTCTGCCAAACACTCATAGAGATCCACGTTGGCGATAGGGAAGTTAACGATCGTTGGATTCTTCTCCACAAACCATTGATTCTTCTGGAATCTCTTATACGAGATGATAAGGAATTCTGGAAGCTTCAGAAGCTCATATCTCTTCATAATGTTGTCATTATATGTCCTGTATTCTTTCTCCGTTTTTCCATCGAATTTCTCCAAAAGTGTGCTCAATGGCACTTGTGGAATGATGTTCTGAAGTTGGACATCGCGGTAGAGTGGGGCTGCTGGGAGATCGAGGGTCAGGAAGAGGAAGGGCTTCTCGGAAACCTTCTCCTGGTAATCTGGGAGGTGCATCTTACGGTACTTCTCTTCTTCAGTGTCTTCTGCTGGAATCACTTTTCGGGAATATTCACGCATTCGACCGCGGAAGGTTCTGGAAAAAGTCAGGATTACTGAGCCTTTCAGAATCTCCAAAACTCACTTCGAAATGATACTCTCCCGCTTTTCAGATCCATTGAGTGCCGCATGAAGTGTTGTCAACAGGAAGAGCATAAAATCATAAGCATCATTCTGCTTGATGAACTGAAACTTCTTGTTGGAGCATACAACGACGGCTTGGAGCATTTCGTGAGGAGACACGTGGGTTCGGAGAGCCCTCGGATTCCATAGCTTTCTGATCAACTCTCCGAATCGCTGTGGGAGAAGTGTGAGCTTGTCTCCTGGAGGACGTTTGACGGCCAAGTAGTTGGATTCCTTGAGGAACCAATTTCGAAGAGGACGGACGGCGGAGAGCGCCTGGAAATGGGGAATTTCGAATTGGATACATTTTGGGCAGTGTCTGATTTTCGTTAGAAATGGCCTGGTGTGCTATCTAGGTTTTTTTTTTTAACATGATGGCCGGTCATGAATTTTCTAGGCCACCATGTTAAAATGGCTTAGAAAACAGACCAGGTGAATTTCAGGTCATTTTGAGGTCATAAAAGTTGGTGGCCTAGAAAGCACCACTTGCGAAAGTTCGGCCACCATGTTGAAATGGACTAAAAATGGCCTGGAATTTACCTGAAGTGTTTTCTGAGACATTTTAACTTGATGGGCCATCAATGATGGCCTAGCTTTTGCAAGTTGAGACCTGGAAAATCCAATTGTCAAAAATTAGGCCACGATGTTAAAACGGCCTAAAAATATGTCAGGTAAATCTGAGATCATTTTTAGGTCATCTCAATATGATGCCCTTACTTTTGTTTTCTAGATCATCATGGTAAATGGCCTAAAAATAGCCTGAAATTCACCTGGTACTTTTCAGGCGAATTTAACATCATCGTGGCCTAATTTTTGCAAATTGAGTTTTCTAGGCCACCGTAGTTTATGATACAGAAATAGTCAAACGTGTACCTTTTATGTTTTTGCGATTATTTATCATGGTGGCCTAATTTCTGCGAGTTCGGGTTTTCAAGGCCACCAACTTTAATCAGTCCCTGATACGAGTGGTATACACCTACTGATATCTCTTGTTACTTTTTGAAAAACTGAAAACAACGTAAGGGCCCTTATGTGTTTTTACACCTACTGATATTTCGTCGGCCAAATTTTCAGCATCAGGGCCTGAACTTTAGTGATCTAGAAAAGGCCTGATATTCACCTGGTGTGATTTCTAGGCCATTTTAGGATGGTGGCCTAATTTTGGCAAGTTGAGTTTTCTAGGCCACGGTAGCTGATGATTTAGAAATGGCCTAACTTCTCAGCAAAAAACCGCAACAGTTGCGCAGCATTTGCACCTCTAACAACAGTTCCGACACACTAGCGCTACAGTTATGCAGCAAGTTGAGCAAATTGCTGGAGTGCAACAATGATATGGCACTGAACCAGCATCTGTATACCGTTCACCCTCGCTCAGCTGTAGAGGAGTTCGCAGCAGTTGCACAGCATCTGTGCGTTCTCCTACAGGTATGCAGCAGCTGTGCAGCATCTTAGCAGCACAACGACACTCCGAATCCCATACTGCGCCCGGTTTAGCAGAATTTTATTTTTGATTTTCGAAATTATTTTCGGTTCTATTTCGATTCGTTTTGATAATTTTTGATAGCGTTCTCGTTTATTAGTAAGCTATTTTATGATTCAGAGCTTCGAGCAGATGCGCCGAATTCGCTGTGCGACAACCCTCTCGACTTGGAGTGAACGAATTGGGACCAATAACTTAGGTAAATTTTGTAATATTTTTCCAATTTTTCAATTGTAATAGAAATTTCAGTGTTCCCCTGATTCGAAAGTTGACTGAAGGCGAGTTCAGCAGATTCATGGTTAGAAGTCGGACGAAAAATCAGGAGAAAAAGAGTAAAGAGGTACGTAATGTTTTTTTCTTTTCTTATGTAATTTTTACAAAAAATTTTGTAGTCTCCTACATCTTTTGAATTAGCTACATTTCAGATTACGTTCCATCAATGAAGACTACGACACACGCCCATCAACAAAATTTACCAAATTTTTGAATTGTGCTCGACAGGACTATATATTAATTTCTAAAATATATTAATTTCTAATTTTTTGTTATATTTTAAATGTAAATAATTGTTGTCTCAATAAATATTGTGATATTAAATTGTACCAAAGTCGTTTTTTATCAGATAAAAATAGTAAAAAGTGAGGATCCGCGCGGCCGCCGCTAGGTACGATGCAGCACTTGCGCAGCATCTGTAACACTTTTCCCCAAACTTGTAACGGGCCGAGCCGGGCCGGGCCGGGCTTTTTCCGGAATTTCGGAGGCCCGGCCCGGCGGGCCCGTCATTTCACTAGTTTCGAAATTTTCAAAAAACACATAAGGGAAGACCCTTATATGATTTTTTTTCGATCAAAAATTTTTTTCGAGTTTTTTCGATCTTTTTTGATCAGACAGACAAACAATCCAAAAAACGACAAAAAAATGAGAAAAATTATATTGAGAGCTCAAAATTTGGCTCAAAAATACAGAATTTTTGACACCGGGCCTTCCGGGCCTTGAAAATTTCCTCAGGCCCGGGCCCGGGCTTTGGCGGGCCGGCCCGGAATTTTTCAAGTATGGCCACCAACTTTTGCGCGTTTTCTTCGAACTTTAACTTTTTTCTCACGATATTTTTTTCTCTTAAAGTTTTCACGGATTGAATATATAAAACGCTATGTGATCCTTTAAGAAAACGTGAGGAGCGGAATAAGTGTAAAAAAGTAGGTTAGATCGCACCGAAAGCGCACCAGCTAACTGAAGGACTAATAAGAAAGTTTTCTGGGCGTTTCAGCCAATTTTTCCTTCAAATTTTCGTTTTTTTTTCAAAAATTCAAAAAACCTACATGAAGAATAACATTGCAATAATCATTAGCCTTGATATTATTCAATCCAACCACTCCCGGAAAATACGTCGAATCATCCTGAGCTCGAACCATTCTCGCTTGCTTATCAATCGATCCAATCATCTCTTTTGTATACGTCGGCTTCAACACGTACTTTATGTCTTCTAGCGATGGATCAACGACTTCATAATTGTCAGGAAGACAGTAAAATTTCAGCGTTTGAAGGTTCAAGAAGACGTGGTGATCGGTTTCAAGAGCGTGGGTGTAGGCGTGGGTATTGGTTCCACGACCCTGGAAATACTTTCCGCACACCATGCACGCGTACACGTTTTGATGGGAGAGAGACACGGAACATTGCTTCTCGAAGTCGAAATCCAGGACGGATCTGGAAGGAAAAATAAGGTGAAATGGGGAAAATTTTAAGGGGATTTTAGGATTTCTTATCAATTTTTTATCCAATTCTGACAATTTCAGAGATTTCTGCCATAGAAAATACGTTTCTGGCTCATTTTCTTTTTTTTAGCGCATTTTTGACCCTCTTACCTATCAATAGTATCCAAATAAGGACACGTCCGGCTCTTTTTCTCCGCCTGCGCCTTTTTCATCGACCAAACCGGCTCATCACCATCCTCGTCGACTTCTCCGTTCTGAAATCCCGCTATTTAGCTTTAATTGGTGCTAATTACCCTCACCTTCAACTCCTCCTGAATGATTCTCTGTCTCTCCAACTCCCTAGCTGTCAGCTCACGTGGCTTCTCGACCACTGGTGGAGTTGTGTCGCGGATCTGAATTTAAGGATAATTAGGGGATAATTAGAATAATAAGAAGGTAAGAATTACCTCTCCATCCTCCTCTTCCTGATCTTTCTCTTCTTTTTTGTCGCGTTTTGAACGCTTTGGAGATCTGAAAATTGAAAGTTAAGATTTTTTAAAAAAATATTTTACCTTGACCGAGTTCTCGATCGACTGCGATCTCTTCTTTTGCGATCCCTTTCCGAAGTTCGGTGCGACGATTCTCCGTTGCTTTTTCCATTTTTCGAATCATCTTCTGCAAAAAACCATTTTCTTTCGAAAAATTGATGCTGTTCTGCATTTTTCAAGCCCAAAAATTTTTTAAACACCTACTTGATCGTCTGGAATGCTTATGATCGCTGTCATCGTGGTGAGATCGTTTCGCGGGCTCCTCATGAGTGCTTCGTCGTCTTTCCTCCTTCGTCTCGGGCTCTGGTGACTTTTCTGGTGCTTCTCTAGACATTTTGAGAGTCGCCTGTAATATTAATGTATTTTTATTTATTTTTATCACAAAAATCAGAAGAAAAAGCGGTGAAAAACGATAGAAAAGTAGGCTTGAACGATGCGAAAATAATTTATTTTTTCGATTTCCGCGCATTGTCTGCAAACACCGCCACGGGAAACTGCGGACTCTAAGTGGGTGTACTCCTCTCGGAAATGAGAAATAAAACGGAATTTTGGAGTTAAAGGAATAAAATAGGCGAATAATGAAGGAAAAATCGATAACATTTTCGAAATTTGGCAGAAAATATTCAAAAAAAGATAAAGTAAAGTTATAACTTGTCGAAATACAAAATTGAGTTCGAGAAAAACAACTGAAAATCGTGAATTTTGAACGCAAACAGATTTGTTCAATTTTTCCAAAGTTAAATGTAGAAATCGGGGGTTTCTTAGGAAAAATAATACAGGATTGTAAATAAAATTAAATCTTCGACCTCGGAAATATGCCTAAAATCTCATAGTTTCAGGTTTTCCAGACATTCCAGTTTTCAGACCAAGACAAATAACAGTATTCATTTGATATGCAAAAAAAGCGATTCGAAAATCAAATTAAGTTTTTTCGACGACTCCGATATATGTATTGCAATCATACCCACTTAAATTACGCCTCAAAAAGGAAAACAATGAAAGCAGTGAGTTTTTCAAAACTGGGGAGCAATCGGGGATAAATAGATCCAAATCATTTTGAAAAATATGAATTGGGAAAAAAAGAAAACCTGCCGTAAACCCCTATAATAGAAGGTCACTCTTTTTGGGTACTTTGAGCCCAGATATCTCGGTTTCTGTAACGTATATCAAGAACTAGTTAACTGATAAAATATTTGCTATAATATCAAAAACATTTAGTGCGTTGACCCCTTCTAATATCTTATACACGAATCGAGATAAATTGACTCAAAGTGCATGTACAGGGTGGACTTCTCAAGCGTGTCTACAGTAAATTCCAAACTTTCAGAACTCCTTCGTGACCATTGGAATCTCGCCCGCCTTTTCCAAATAATTCATCTGAACTGCGGACTGTTGTCAGGTGAAGTGAATAGTAACGATACTATCGACAAATTTTGGAATCTATCAAAACCAATTTCCGCCTCGAAACTTGCTTCCATCGACTTTAAAAAGTTAAGTCGAGACCTGGAAAGAATATCAAACTCTGTTAATTAAACTTCATATCTCCCTATTGGAGATATTGATTACAAGTTGATTGATAATGGCATTTCTGCTATAAAGCAGGCTAGACAACTCCAAGACATTTCCGAGTCTTTGAAGAAGATAGGAAAATCTGGAGATACTCCTGAAATTATTGCCCAGGTCGAGCTTAATTATTGGAATCAGTACTACAAACGGACAGAAAATACTCTGCGACTATTTAAAGCCCTTGAAACAAGCAAGAAAATGAACAGCTCTACTTTGAGTGAAATGTCTCAATTCATTATTGAGCGACTTCAAATAGAGTATATTCATAAACACGAATCTCTATTGCCAATAAAGGACAACTTCTCAGCGCTACAGAAGATAGCCGCAGAACCTCTCAATTTGACAATGTTCAATGAGACTTTTTTAAAGAGACCATCTGAACAGATGAAACTGGCTCAACTTCCATTTTATGCCACGCAGAGTTTGATTATTGGCTTGAAGTACTTCGAAAACCTGCACAAGGCAGTCCAATTGGCAGAAGATGTGTTTTCATCAGTTTCCTCACTGTCATATAAAACTTCATCGAGTTCTTCGATTCTTTCGGATACCTTTTTGAATCAAACCATTCTTCAAGTACAATATGATGAGAAGTTTCTGAAAATCTTAAGATCAGCAATCGAATCGGTTCATAATTTCATCGGAGGGTTATCGAAAATTGATAACAGATTGAAAGAACTGGGACAATTCTGGTTGGGAAAGATTAATGATATTGATCGCTTCCTCAAGCTTCACGACAAATTCTTTCCAGGTCTCGACTTAACTTTTTAAAGTCGATGGAAGCAAGTTTCGAGGCGGAAATTGGTTTTGACAGATTCCAAAATTTGTCGATAGTATCGTTACTGGGTGAAGATCTAATTCTACTTTTGATGAGGGCGCGGGCAGCACGACAGTGTGGGGCTGAGAGGATTCGGAATTCGTCACTTACCATTTTCTTATTGATTGTTCGATTTGATACGAGTTCGAACATGGAGAATTTTCCTGGGAGCCGTAGTTGGAGTCTTAAGAAGCTTGGAGTAGAGTTCCGTATCATCGGTTACTCTTTGTTTGTAGCTTGTCCAATATCATGCTGTATTTGGTTTCAAACCGTACGACTATCAAAGGATGAGCAATGGGATCTGATCAAACGAAATTGGCCCCAGTACACTTCGAACTTTCGAAATTTGACTCATTTTGATGTTTACGCAAAAACATGGTGGTTCGTATTCTTGCTACTGGTAACAGTTCTCGGAGGGTTCATACTTTCATCTTTATTTATTATTTTTATTCTGGATATTCTCCGGATGATGGTAGCTTTGAAACTGAGAATCTCTGCATCTCGATATCAAAAACACAGAGAAGCCATTCAAAGTCTTTTGGTACAATTCGCCATGTCGTCTTTTTGTTTCGTACCTCCTTGCTGTTTAGTTGTAATTATTTTATTGGAACTGGAACAGGCACAAATACTGACCGAGTTGTGTATTCTGTGGTTTGCCACTCATTCATCTGCTAATACACTTTCACTGCTCATATTTTTTCCACCATATAGAAATTCTAGTCTAAAGCAGTTGAGACTGTAAGGAAGCTGTTCGGGTATTTTAGAGAAAAAAATTAAAGCTTTTCCGGGAATAAAGTAGTGCTGATTGGCGCGAAAACATTAAATGTTGTGCAGACTTCTGTAGCCTTTCGAGCGCCAGAACGTTCCGTATTAACTAGGAAAGGCCCCAACTTGGGTGTGGCGATACGGGTGGTGACCTATATCATCTGAAAGCTGACATTTTCCTGATTCCAAATCTGTTTTCAAAAAGTGCTTTGTCGTGGTAGTTTTCGATAAAATTGGGTCGAAAGTTTCGAAAAATGACGTGGATTTTTAGTCTCATTTTCCTTCCTCACGTATATAAGTTTTGAAGCGTTGAAACAATGTGGAAGCGTGGTCGAATGGTTAGCGAGGAGGAATATGAAGCGGGAACTCTCTGGTTCGACTCCCTCGAGCTGCTAAACTTTTTTTGAGTTTTTCTTCGTTCTTTCCGGTGACCGTATCTGACTTCTCGGTTGTGGCCTGCAACTTTAGGGCGAAAACAGGGGTGGGTGCGGCTTTAGAGTGTTATTTGGGCCGCTTTTAACCGGAAGCTTCTAGATCTGTGGCAGCTGCGCCGACCACCACCACCCTGGCGAATCTTGGGCGATGTTTGGGCGAATTTTAAAGGCGACGCGTGCCACGCGTTGCGTGCATCAGAATTTCTTTTCGAAATCAAAGCTTATCCGTTTTTTCCTATTTTAGCGTAATTTATCTCATTTTCTTTGTCGTTTCTGTTCTAAAAATGAAAAACCTTTTAGGTAATAGTATCAAAAACTTGGTTTCAAATATAAGACGTTCAGAACTTGGTTTTGAAGTCAGGAATTCGAAATTAAAGTGAGGACATCTGAAAAAAAAAGATAAATGGATTTGTCAGAATGTCGAATTTCAGGTCGAAGAGACAACTTCGTAAAATACATAATTTTCTGAAAGTATTTATGATGATTTTCAGAAGGAAGTTGGCAACACGCATTCGGGCAGCAAAATTTGATACTGGAATCCAAAGTTTACAAAAAGGTAAAAACATAGAAACGTGATTCGAAAAATTGTGAAACTTGTAGATCGTAATACATCTGATTGTGAGTATCAACGAAGATGAAACAGCTCACGCCCGGAACGACAATGCTCGTCGCTGCGCCGAGAGACCGCTGTGCCGTTTTGTAACCGAAAATACTACGATATGACTCGTCACTACGGTGTCAAACAGAGCAATCTGATTGCGTGGTAAGTGGGAGGAGCTTTTTGTTCAAAGATCCTAAGGATCCCTAGATCCCTAGATCTTTGGATCTTTAAATCCCTAGATCGTTCGAAACCTAAACTCTAAACTCCAGTTTCGTTGTGATCAACGATCCAAACGAGAAGGACTCTCCTTCGGCTCATCAATCAAATACGTCTTCAAACCGGACATCCTGAACGGCGCCGACTTCAAGTACATCGTCCACATCGACCCGATCGTTCTCGCTCGTTGTGGACTCATCTGTTCCATCTATCAAGAGCTTCAGTACATGCCATCTGAGGGATCGGCGGTGTTCGAAAAGCAGATAGATGGTCGATATGCGTTGAACAAGAACATGCAGTTAGTTTTCTGTGCCAACTTCTCACCAGCGTGTCTTCTGTGATGATGTTCCGACTTCCATCTGACAGACCTCATTGGTAAGCGACAATATAATCAATACAATTATCTTCGTATTTTTTTCAGAGCACCCAAGTGACAACTACTGCCTACCATGCCCACATCATGATTCAACGCAAATCTAAGAGACAATCTTTTTCTCTCTTTTTTGTTATTCTGTTTATTATTTTCCTTTCTTCTGTTAGATATTGGTTTATAAAAATAAATAAAGTTTATAAAATGATTTCGACAGAAGTTTCAGTTTTTTTAGAGCCTATGGTCAGATTTAGTATGAGCTACGCGAATCTTGAGTGTAGGCTTGGCGTCTTTAGAGCGGTCGCTGGACGGCTTCTACAGAAAACTAAAGCGACATCCGCCCTGCCACAGCTTAAAAGCCGCTTAAATCCAGCCTGAAAGTTGCGGGCAACAGCCGAGTTGTAGAAATGGACATAGGTTATCGAATCTTGTGAAACAACTTTTTTATTGATTCTCTTTGTTTTGAACTTATTCAACCACATTAAAATTTTTTCGAAATTTGAAAAAATGCCAAGGGGGTACCAAATGGCTATTTTCTCAAAAAAAAATGTGTTCCGACAAAAAGAGAAAACCTTTTCAGATTGTAGAAACGCATACAATATACGGATAACATTTAAATATAGCCAAAAAAGTCAATAACTCCTTCTGAAACTCACTTCAAAAATGAGAAATTAGTACTTTAGTAATTTTTATAGCTCATAATTTTTTTCACAAGGCCGGGGTGGAAAAACTGACTTCAGTTCTGTAATCAGTGTGCCCAAAAGGACCAATGACAATAGTTTGAGCAAAATCAAAAGAATGCGGTTTGTCTAGAATCTTCAATGGATCTCCTTTGATCCTTTGAAATCCTTTGAAAATTGTGGAAAAATAGATGAAAACAAAAAGTTTCGAAAATAATAGGTAAAACAGTTAAAATCAAAATGGAAACCAATTCCAAGTATATGGAACCATATAGGATCACCTAGAAGTCAGATACAATCACCGGAAAAAAACAAAGAAAAAACTCAAAAAAAGTTTAGCAGCTCGAGGGAGTCGAACCAGGGAGTACCCGCTTCATATTCCTCCTCGCTAACCATTCGACCACGCTTCCACATTGTTTCAACGCTTCAAAACTTATATACGTGAGGAAGGAAAATGAGACTAAAAATCCACGTCTTTTTTTCGAAACTTTCGACCCAATTTTCTCGAAAACTACCACGACAAAGCACTTTTTGAAAACAGATTTGGAATCAGGAAAATGTCAGCTTTCAGATGATATAGGTCACCACCCGTATCGCCACACCCGAGTTGGGGCCTTCCCTAGTAAGTGTTGTAGATGTTTCATGAAAAGCAATTTTTCTATCAGTGGTTTCCTAATCTTAACACGACAAAAAAAATTTCGAACCAAACATAAATACACTATAACTACAGTACTCTATCAGAGCACATTTAAACCAAAAATGAAACAGCAGAACTTTAAAAAAATTCATTTTAGACTGTATTATCATGACATAGAAACTTTCACAGTCCTAAATATGATAATTTCATAAACGTGTTACAGGTGAAAAATTTTAAAAAATGTTGAAAATAAAGCTAAACACAAGTCACACTTTCAAAAAAATCCTTATACTAGATTTTTTTCCTGAAAATTCACCTGTTCGCTTTTTAGTGGAAAATCTCCAGCCGTCACACTTTTGCTTTCAGATTCCCCCATTTCATCGGTGACTCAATGACAGCTATCGATTTTTCGACACCCGCTTGGCTTATCAATTATTATCATATCATTGGAATAATCTCATTGTTTCTAAACTTGTTAGGAATCTATTTACTTATGTATCAAAACAATCCCTTCTACTGTTCCACGGGATTTCCGAAGGGCCCTTCTATTACAGGGGTCCTTCAATTAAAGAGGGCCCTTCTATTTTTCCGGCAATTTTTTACGAAATTTTTCATCGAAAACTCGACGAATTTTCGTTCAAAGTGCATGAAAATCCGTCAATTTCATCAAAATTGAGCATGTTTTTTATCAGAATACAATATTTCAACAAACTTTTATTAAATTGTGAAATTCCCGGAACATTTTCACTGAAAACGTACGGAATTTTTCCATTTTGAGACATATTTTGGAGTGGGTCCTTCTTTACAGACGGTCTTTCTACTACGGGGGCCATTCTATTACAGGGGGCTCTTCTATTTTTCCAAAGCCCTCTCGGGGGCTCTTCTAGTACAGGTTTTACGGCATTTTTCATTTCAAGCAAAAGGGGGAAATATGAGTGCCAACGACTCTGAAACATTTTAGTTTCTATAACACCATATTCTCACCTTTTCAGATGGGAATTGTGTTCATAGTGATTATTCAACTTGAACTGCTCAATATATGCTTCGAGCGAAAGCATCAAGCTATCGCAAATACTTTGAGAACTCATGTTCTACCAGTTTGGTTCCGATTATTCGCTTATTCTATTTGTATAGCTTGTCCCATAAGCTGCTGTATTTGGTTTCATACTGTGCGACTAAGGAAGGATGAGCAATGGGATTTGATCAAACGAGATTGGCCGCAGTACATCTCCGATTTTCAAAATTTGACTCATTTTGATGTTTATAAGAAAACATGGTGGTTCGTATTCTTGCAACTGGTAACAGTTCTCGGAGGGTTCATACTTTTATCTTTATTTATTATTTTTATTCTGGATATTCTCCGAATGATGGTAGCTTTGAAACTGAAAATCTCTGCGTCTCGATATCAAAAACACAGAGAAGCCATTCAAAGTCTTTTGGTACAATTCGCCATGTCGTCTTTTTGTTTCGTACCTCCTTGCTGTTTAGTTGTAATTATTTTATTGGAACTGGAACAGGCACAAATACTGACCGAGTTGTGTATTCTGTGGTTTGCCACTCATTCATCTGCTAATACACTTTCACTGCTCATATTTTTTCCACCATATAGAAATTTCATGTTAAAGCAGATGAGATTGTATGGAAACTGTTATATTGTGAAAATATAATTAGCAGCTTTTTCAGGAATAAAGTGGTGCTGATTGGCGGGAAAACATCAAATGTTGTGCAGCCTTCAGTACCAATTCGACAACCAGAACGTTCTGTTTTAAGTGTTGTGGATGTTGTATGAAATAAACTTTTAATCAGTAATTGTCAAGTCTTAACATGACAAAAAAGTTCGAAATAAACACAAATATACAAAAGTAACAGTAATCTATCAGCAGACATAAAAACCAAAAGGAAAAAATCGAAACTGAAAATATTACCATGCGCGGAGTCGAACCAACACCCTACTCCCCTCCCTCCTTTCCTCCCACTCCACCACTTTCCCCTTTTCTTTCGTCGTCTGCCGCCAATTTCAGTGAAAAGTTAGGAGTTGCAGAAATGTGCCGAAGACAATGAGAACGAATACTGTAACTTTGCCAAAATACTACCCATCAAAAATACTACTTCTGGTGAAAATTGAAAATTTGGTCGAAATTGGAGAAGGTCGATTTTGAGCGAATTTTAGTTGTCATGTACTCCCCCACTTGGTGAAACCTCATTTTTTGACACATTTTGGTTTAAAACTTGCAATGGACCCAGGATATTCAAATGAAAGCAAATACAGCTGAACGGAAAAGAGTTAGAATTTTTGTTTCAACACAAAAAATGTTCAAAATAGCAAGATTGAACTATTCCAAGTTAAATCTAATCATTATCTCCATCGAGAAAAATTTTCATTTTTTGACTATAGTTAGCCATCGTTTGGACCGTATCGGGCGGGTCCAAACCAAATGTATATTTTTTATCTTAAAAATGTTCCAACTTTTATGATGTATAATATCAATGCGTAAGAGCTAGTTTTCATTTTTCAGTACATCACTTCTTTTGAGCTTGATTATCTCAATTTCTTTAAGAGATATCAAGAATTGGTCAATGGATAAAATGCTTTTCACAATATCACCAGCATGTTATTAGTTGACAAGTTTTTGATATCTCTCACAGATATTCAGATAATCCTTTTTTCAGATCCTCGAACGCTAGACATGGCCTGAAAACTGTATTTCGTTGATCGGTATGGGATGACTTCCGGAATCAATCGTCCGTTATTAATTGATCCGTCCAGATGACCATTGTTTGCGGAATGAGAAGGATTTGGCCCATACTCCCAGGGTCATCGAAATAGGGAGCATCGTGCTCAAGGGGGGCATTCACTCATAGGGGTCGCTAACTCATAGGGGGCATTCTGAAGTTGTCTCTTAGGGGGCATCCCACCATGTCTCATAGGGGGCATCGGACCAAATGCTCCCAGGGGCATTGATAGTCTCATAGGGGTCATTGAAATCAATTTGATTTTTTAAAGAATTACGACAGAAAATTTTTATGAACTACGACAGAAAATGTTCACTTCTCATTGTCACATTGTTCTTTTTGATTTTGTGTCATATTTTTCACTCATCAATGATGAAAAAATATTGAGATTCTGAAGTTCTGCGATTTCGAAGTTCTGAAATTCTCAGACTCTGAAGTTCCGAAATTCTCAGATTCTCAGATTTTGAAGTTCCGAAATTCTCAGATTCCGAAATACTGGAATTACAAAGTTCTGAAATTCTAAGAATTCTGAGGTTTTCAAGCTCTGAAATTCAGGAATTCAGAAACTCCCTCAAAAAAACTGTACCCCCGAATCACAAGCGTTGTACCCCTGAATGAAATGGATATTTTATGTTATCTTATCAGGTAAACCAACCAAAAATATCAAGTTAAAAACTTGGGACTTTTCAGATAGCTTGTTTTATGGCTGACGTCCATGTGAATTTTTTAATGTAAGTGGTTCCATAACACCATATTCTCATCTTTTCAGATGGGAATTGTGTTCATAGTTATCGTTCAACTCGAATTGCTCAATATATGCTTCGAGCGAAAACATCAAGCCATTGCAAACACTCTTAACACTCATGTTCTACTAGTTTGGTTCCGTATAATTGGTTATTCTTTGTGTGTAGCTTGTCCAATATCATGCTGTATTTGGTTTCAAACCGTACGACTATCAAAGGATGAGCAATGGGGCCTGATCAAACGAAATTGGCCACAGTATATGTCTAAATTCTAAAATTTAAATCATTTTGATGTTTACGCAAAAACATGGTGGTTCGTATTCTTGCTACTGGTAACAGTTCTCGGAGGGTTCATACTTTCATCTTTATTTATTTTTTTCTTCTGGATATTCTCCGAATGATGGTAGCTTTGAAACTGAGAATCTCTGCATCTCGATATCAAAAACACAAAGATGCCATTCAAAGTCTTTTGGTTCGATTTGCCATGTCATCTTTTTGTTTCGTACCTCCTTGCTGTTTAGTTATTATTATATTTTTGGAATTAAAGCAAGCACAACTATCAACCGAGTTGTGTATACTGTGGTTTGCAACTCATTCATCTGCTAATACGGTTTCATTGCTCATATTTTTTCCGCCATATAGAAATTCTATTCTAAAACAGTTGAGATTGTAAGGAAGCTGTTCGGGTATTTTAGAGAAAAAAAATTACAGCTTTTTCAGGAATAAAGTGGTGATGATTGGCGCGAAAACATCAAATGTTGTGCAGACTTCTGTAGCAATTCGACAACCGGAACGTTCTGTATTGAGTGTTGTAGTTGTTTCATGAAATATACTTTTTCAAGTTGCCATTTTCTAGTCATAATACAACAAAAAACTTCAAACTAAACATGTATACAACAGTTACAGTACTCTATCTGCACACATAAAAACCAAAAAGAAAAATGCAAAACTTAAAAAAATTACCACGCGCGGAGTCGAACCAACAATCTCCTCCCCTCCCCTCTTTTCTCCCACTCCACTACTTTCCCCCCTTTCTTTCGTTGTCTGCCGTCTCTCCTCCTCCCCTACCTCTCTCACTCACACCTCCTCGCGCGTCTGCGTCTATTCAAACGTGCGCTCTCTAGTGTCCGACGCGGGCATCGATTGATACATAGAAATATATAAGAGGCGTCGTCTCGCTGTTGTCGTCGGTTTTAACCCAGTTACTCAAGGTACGCTGGAGTTCCGACCATTCGAAAGAATGTGTTGAACACTAATCTTAATTTTTGGATCCGCTTCGCTGGGGTTATCCGGCGAGGCAACGAATCTTGATTTGATGGAAAGAGGGGAGCTTGGTGGGAATATTTGGAATAGTTGTCTAGAAAAACATCGGTAAACATACTTGTAACGGGCCGGGCTTTTTCCGGAATTTCGGAGGCCCGGCCCGAGCCCGTCATTTCACTAGTTTCGAAATTTTCAAAAAACACAAAAGGGGGGACCCTTATGTGATTTTTTTCGACCAAAAAATTTTTTTTCGAGTTAAAAAAAAAAAATACAGAATTTTTGACACCGGGCCCGGGCCTTGAAAATTTCCTCAGGCCCGGCCCGGCCCGGAATTTTACAAGTATGTCGGTAAACAAATATGAAGAGAAAAAAATCTGTAAAATAAGCTTTCGATTTTTCATTTTAAAAAAACCTTTAAAAATGATGTTAGCCGTAAATATGAAGTATTATTCTTGTCTTGTGCAAAAAAATTGGAGTTGTCGCCGAATTTTCACACAAGTTAGGCCACCGTATTTCAAAGAGAATTTTCGAAAACACAGCCGGCAAACGAGTGCTACCGTAACTCAACAATAAATATTTTCGCAAAATTTTTGTCTTATTTTTTTTTCTTTTTTATAGATTTCTCCCGATTTTTTCGCGGTTTGGCCGTTTTTTCACCCAATGGTTTTAATGGGAATTCCACCACA